CAATTAATTAAGGTTTTACCCTGGAAAGTGGATTATACCTGTACCTGCATTCCAATAGATGAATACTCAGAAACAGTGGTGATGTTGGACCATCATGCTATTTCAGATCTCATTTATACACTGACCTCTGTGACCTCTTATTTATCTTCTTTTACCTGTTTGTTTGTTTGTTTTTTAGTGGTACTGGAGGTTGAACTCAGGGCTTCACACTTTCTAGGCAGGGGCGCTACCACTTGAGCCACTCCACCAACCTTTGTGCACTGGTTATTTTTTAGATAGGGTCTTACTTTTTTTCCCAGTCTGGTGTGGCCCTCCATCCTCCTGTTTTGCTTCCCCTCGTCCCTGGGATGACAGGCTTGTCACCACATGTAGCCATTGGCTGTGATGGAGTCTCCTGAACTCTTTTTCCCAGGCTGGCCTCAAACAGCCATCTTCCAAATCTCTGGCTCCCACGCACCTGCGATTACACGTTTGAGCCACCATGCCTGCTTATTTCATATTTTGTTGTTATTATATTCCCAAATGAAAAAGTATTTTCAATCATTAAGACCCCAAGGAAGCATAAAAGAAGCAAATAAAACATGCTCCTTTTATTCTTGAAATAAATTTTCGCAGTTTCCTAGTACTTCTAACTTTTTAAATTCATATAAAAGATATTGTACAATGTATTGCAAATAAGTAGTACAGGTGAAGGATAGAAACTTTAATTTGTCTTTATGTCTTAGAAGATTTTATTTATCTTGAAGATATTTACTCAGTATTTCTTTCTCTCTCTTGTTTAACTGTAAAGCAAAAATGATTCCAGGAATCATTTATTTGTAGAGAAAACTGTCACTCAGATCTTATTGTCTCCTAATTCAGAGACTGCTAGTAAACCCTTGGGTTCCCTAGCCTGACGATTAGAAGCACCAAATTAGAAAAAAGGTAAGTAGACCATTACAGGCAGGAAAGCTAGCAGTTCCAAGAAGTGAGAGCTTTTAGTGTAAAGCGTTAGTGGTAAAGGAAGAGCAAACCTATAAAAGCAGACAGGATTTTAAGTGTTGTTTCAGATTCTTGTGTTTAGTTCATTATACTCCCAATGCTACTCAGATCATCAGCATGTTAAATCACAGCACAATAATTGGATATAATAATGACCCTGAGTATTACTTTAAAAACTAAATTGTGCTAGGTACATTGTTATAAAATAGGAATTTATTCACAAAAGAAAGTATTATGCTGGATAAATAAATGAAGCATTGTCATACCCCAAATATTAGACAATTTTTTTTTGTGGTACTGGGGATTGGACCTGGCCTTGCTGAGCTATATCCCCAGCCCTCTTTAATTTTTTTGTTTGTTTGTTTTGTTACTAATTTTGAGCCAGACTCTCTCAAGTTGTCCAGGTTGACCTTGAACTTGTGATCCTCCTGCCTCAGTCTCCCGAGTAGCTAGGATTATAGGCATGTGTCACCATAGATATGTTTTCTTATGTTTTAACTTTTGCAAGGAATCCATTTATTAGAGGCTTTGTTGTGTTGAAGTCCACAGCTCATCCTTCCACTGCTCTGTTTTGTACTTGATGACTCAGTAGTGCACATATGTGACTGGGCAGAAGAAAATGCTGCATCTCTGAAACTTGAGTTTGTCTTCCTCACACTGTTGTGACTGCTCTGTACATTCTGTAAATAATTTACACCTTGATGGTACTGCACAGCTACATTAATGGCCCCTCTGGCTCCACATGATATTAAGAACTTTAATAATTCATCATTTTTCCAGCCCCATCCCTATAGAGTAGCATGCATGGGAGCAGAGTTTACAACACTGAGATAAGGCCTTTGGTGAGACCTTTGGTCTTTTTCTGGTCCTTTAATATTCAGATATTTGTAGGGTTAGAAAATAAAGATTGTTGACTGTTAGTTCAGTACATTTTGGGGATGGTTCAAAGGGGAGATACTTTGAAAGATAATTTTGTTTCAGACTCTTACTTTAAAAGCAACCAGAGACAAATTGTATCATTGGCCTATGAAAATTAAAGGAAGCTAATGCTTGGACAAAGGGAAGAACAATAAGAGACTTTGTTTTGAGACAGGGTCTCTCTAGGCTGGCTTCTGACTCGTGATTCTCCTGCCTCCTCCTTCCAAATGCTGTATTATAGGTGTGTACCAATATGCTTGGGGAGAGACTTCAGTTTTAAAAACTGTCCACTCACTTATGCTTCCCGTTCCCCCCCTCCCCCACACACTCTCTGTCTCTTATTTAATGCAGGGCTCCTACCCAGGTCTTCGCACGTACCAGGCAAATGTTCTACCACTGAGCCATACCCCCAGCCTTATCCAAACTCTTTATCTAAGAGTTTTTCTTCTTGTATTTGAAATCTTCAAATTTTAGTTGTCTTCAGACTTTTTGGAGAACTTTTGGAAAAAGAAATGGAAGCAGGTACAGTGGGCCTACCTGTAGTCCCAGCTGTTTGGGAGACTAGGCAGGAGAATTTCTTGAGCACATGAGTTCAGGACCACGAGACTCTATCTCAGGGAGACAAAAATGAAGGGTGTGCTTACGGAGAATGAGAACATGTCTGTGTACTCCTGTGAGAACATGTCATACGATTAAATTTCAGAGTGAAATTTAGGTATAAAAGTTGGTGTTGATTAAAGTTGGTGTTACCTTTGTTCAGTCTTGGAGTGACTCCATCTCTGAAAACTAGAAACATTTTTTAGGGGCATAAAAGGTTACTAATATTGACAGTGTTTGCAACCAGAAACCCAGCACAGTCCATGGTCCAAGGAGTGTTTTTTGCATGAATAGCCAATGATCAGATCGATATAATTCTATTTAGACACCTGCTGTTTTGATAACTTAAACAGCTGTGCTGGTATATTCTAGTTGCTTGCTATGATGGTTCTGTGTTGGGAGTGTGTTGCACTTTACCTTTACTGTCTTTTAATGTCTTTCAGTGTAGATTTGTTTGAGAAGGTTCTGTGTGGTTATAACCCACAAGGCTGTTCAGTGCATATATTTTTATATATCTTTAAGAAAACAATATCCTGTAGAAAGGCTGCAAAGTATGTCAGGTATCCTTTGAGTTGCCTTGAAAATCCTATCATTCTTCAAAGACAGAGAAAATTACTCTTTCGCAAATAGAGCTGTTTATAGTTTCACTAACTGGCTACAAAGTTGTTTATACCATGTATAAATTGAGTTTCATTTTATTGCCTTAGATTTAATCATGATTTTCTTTATGAGTTATTATCAGGTCAGTGATTATCTATATTAATGCTGAGTGACTCACGGGAGAACTCTTGGGGCACTCTTGAGTGACACTGCCGGGGAGGTTTAGTGAAGGCATAATGAGCACTGTTAGGATTAAAATGAGCCCCCAAATCTCCAAAGGGGAAAAATCCTCACATTTTAGCATCATAGATGTACCATGCTAGCTAGCCTGGTGCACAGATGTCGTTAGCATTTCATTTTCAATACCACTGAGCTCAGGGAAGAAACAAATTCTAACTTGAAGTAGAGCAGTGGAATTTCTGCTAGAGGTGAAATGTCACAAAGCAATAAAACTTTTGACTTGTACAAAATTCTGAGTTTGTTGTTTAGTACCAAGTGTGAGTTGGATTAAGGTATTGGGATATAAGATTTAAGGCAGTCTTTTTTGGAGGTACTGGGAACTGACACCAGGGTGCTGACCATGTCAAGAAAATGCTTTACCACTGAGCTACACTCGCAGCCTTAAGTAGATTTCTTTTTTTCTTTTTTTTAATTTGGTGCTGGGGATTGAACCAGGGATGCTTTTAGGCAAGCATTCTGCCACTTGAGCTACACCTTTAGCCCTTAGCTATAAGAGTTTTATGTGGAGTGAATTCGTGTTCTTAATCTTCATTCATGAGTATCTTGGAAAAAGACCTTAGAACTATTGTGAAAAGTGACATTTAACATAGCCTTAGTCATGTCATGGTGTAAATTAAGCTCTAAATAAAGGTGGGGAAGTTTTGCAGATGGGTAGGTATGAGTCCAGCTGAGAACAAATTGTTCTGCTGTGAAAGAGACATCATTCAAACCTGCACGCTTCTGTCAACTGCCTGTGGCTGCACAGTGAGACCAATTGATTGAGTGTTTCTCCAGTGTCCCTATTGCTAGCCATCTTGTAATGTACAGCAAGCACATCTCTCGGCAAACAGCTTGTAAATATGCCAGGAACAAGCAAGGTGAGTTTTTAAACTCAGGACTAACTTCGGTGAATCTCTACTGTATCTGATAAACTACTTGCTAGCAGCGAGATGGAATTTTAAATTTCCGGCCTCCCCTCTTTTAGTTGCGTGACTTTGGCTTAACAGGTTATTAGTCTTTGCATATGTTTCCATGCAAGAAAAGTGAGGATTATGAAAGGATTTGTGTATTCAGCCAGTTAGTATTTATGAAGTACACAGAAGGCTCTTAATGTTAGCTGCCTATCATCAGCAGCATTAACATAATTTGGGATGAGATTAATTTCCTCTCCTGAAGCTAGATAGTTCTTTTTGGGAAGACCACATTGCTGTAAAGAATGGGATCAACTCCATTTGTTTTTTTCTGTTGAGACAGGGTCTTGTTATGTAGCCCAGCCTGACCTGGAATCCACTTCCCTCCTCCCTCAATTTCCTGAGTGCTGAGATTATAAGCGTGCACACCAGGCTTAAACTTCATGATCACCGAAACATGTTACTGTATTTTCTAATTACTAAAGAAAGAAAACATAAATTAAAAAGAGACATAGCTATTTTGAGATCTAGACAAATTTTTATTCATAAACATTTCTTTTTATCTGTACTACTCAAGTTCACATTTTAATAGAACTTTTAGTATTCCTCCTTTAGTTCCTTCCCCTCCTCCCTCATTCCCTTGATGGTGAGTTTCAAATCCAGAACGTGGTGCGTGCTTGGCAAACCCTTTACCCCTATATCAAAGCCTCCATTTTTTTCTTTTAAGCCTATTTTCCAACACTAAACTAAGAATGATACTTTTTCCTCCTTCAGGGATTTGAGTCATAATCGGTTGTCTAACTGGAACATCAGCTTGGAATCCCAAACATTACAGGAAGTGTAAGTTTTATTTATTTAATGTTACATTTTTTGAGTTGATTTAATAAATTACGAATTTGGGGATATTCAATTCAGAGATTCTGTCTAAAAAATTAAAGAAAACGTTAAATTACTTAACTTAAACTGTTATCTTTGGCTTTGTTTGTTTGTTGCTACTGGGATTTGAACTTTTATGCTTGCAAAGCAAGCCACACTGCTTGAGCCCCACCTCCAGTTCATTTTTTGCTCTGGTTATTTATTTGGAGATGAGGTCTGTTTGCCCAGGCTGGCCTTGAACCGTAATTCTCTCAGTATCAGCCTCCCAAGTACCTAGGATTATAGACGTGAGCCACCGGCACCCAGCTCTTTGGCTTTGTTTTTATCACAGCCTCTCTGGGCATTGAGTTGGTGATTTCAGGTTGACACCAACTGTTAGAAATATTATTCTGTTTCCCTAAGGCCAAAAGTAAAATTTCTCCCCTCTTTGGAGTAAATTTGTTTTGTTTTTTGCCAAGATTTCAAGACATTGAAACTGTATGTCTTGACATGTCATCTAAAATGGAAGCATAATGTCTAAAGTAGACTTATAAGAAATAGAGTGATTTTTGGTATTGTCTGAGAATGTTGTGGTCGATATAATTCAGTTTTCCTCTTAGCTGGTTTTCCTTTAATGGAATGTATTGTGCAATTTGAAAGGGATTTCCTTCCTTCCTTCCTTCCTTCCTGCCTGCCTAGCTCCAAATATACTGCTTTTAATTTCTTGTGGAACTGAATAAACAGCTGACAAAAATAGGCACTGAGGAAAGGCCTGAACTCGCTTCACTGGGAAGCACATGAGCTTTGCTGCATGGACTTTATAGCTTCGACTGGTTTCTGGGAGACGGCTTACTTTTGCTTTCTTTTCTATATTACAGATCGTTCATGTTGTTCAGTGATTGCCAATCAGGTCAATGAAATGTGATTGTATTAGATTTGTTCCTAAAACATTTGAAGCAGTCAGTTGAAAGGGCTGGTAGGAATAGATGTAACATGGATATTACATACATATGCAAAATCAGTCCATCTCTGGGTAGACAAATTAATTTCTTCTGTGATCCTAAGAAACAGTCCTTAACTTTGAATAGCTTTAAAGCATGTGTGTATTTGTGTGTGTGTGTATAGAGATAGGGAGACAGACAGACAGACAGATACCAAGATTTGGATGGACTAATTGTAACTTTGTCTAAGGTTGCAAACTAACTGTCATAAACACACCTTTTCTCAGAGAACTTTGTTGGGACCAAAATATTTAATGTGCAAAAAATTCTTAGCCTTTTTAATATTAATAGTAAGAGTAGGCCCGCATTATTGAAAAACTTTTTTATTAAAATTTGTAATTTCGCAATAAATACATTTTTATCTTGGTCAAATTTGGCACCTACCCTAAAGAATGTGTATTAGTCAGAAACCAAAATTCAAGAGGTAGCGTTGCTCTCATTAAACTTTTAAATCTATTTATCCCCTTGCCTAGGAAAATGAATTACAATGAACTAACAGAAATACCATATTTTGGAGAACCTACACCTAATATTACTCTACTTTCATTGTAAGTAATTAAGATTTCAGACCTTTGACTTAAATTATGAAAAACATGTAGGGTTTTTTTTTGTTTTCATTTTTTTTTAAGTTCCCATACTGTTGACCCTAATTATTTAATATCCTGTGGCTTTGGAATACTGGCCATAGCTTTAATACAATCTTTGCTTTGTAGAGTTCATAATTTAATCCCAGAAATAAATGCAGAGGCACTACAGTTTTACCCTGCTCTTGAGAGTTTAGACCTCAGTTCCAATATAATATCAGAAATCAAGACATCTTCATTTCCTCGAATGCAGCTTAAATACCTGTAAGTAAAATGAATTTTAATTCATTGTACTTTAAAGTGCATTTTTATTATGTATTGGTACCTGTCTTCCTGTGACTGTCTATTATTTATTGTGGTTTGATACACAAATGAAACAAACCTATAGTTGGGTTTTGGGTTGTTGATCCCCCACCTTCTTCCCTAGAGGAAAGAACATACTGTTGTCAGAAAATATTGTTAGGCATCCAGGGTAAATTCTGAAATTTAATTCTAGCTTTGTTTTTGTTTTTGTTTTTCTAATCAGTAGCTTTTTTGTTTTGGAATGCTAGGGATTGAACCCAGGTCCTTGGGCGTGCTAGGCAAGCACTTTACCACTAAGCACTGAACCCTTATCAGTTTTGTAAAAGGTAAACAGAAGTAATTTGTTAAGCAGTAGCTTACTCTGTATAATGATGATGATGCTTAGCATGTATGTCAGTGTTTTCTAGTTTACATAGCATACTCATATGTTTCATAACAACCTAAATAAAGTAGTTATTATGCTAATTGTTATTTTATTTTTCTTTTTTTGCAGTGCTGGGAATCAAACCCAAGGCCTTGCACATGCTAGGCCAGCACTGTCACTGTGCTATACTTTCAGCCCTATTGTACTAATTTTGTAGATGACAAAAGCAAATAATTTGAAAAGTTGTATATAATTAAATGATAGAGCTAGAGCTGTTACAGACTTTGGGCAGCTTTCCAGTGGTAGATATTCTGTTTCAGTACAGTATTTTCTAGTGCTCTTTTCTTTCTCATTTTAGGAACTTGAGTAACAACAGGATAACCACCTTGGAGGCTGGTTGCTTCGATAATTTATCCAGTTCCTTATTAGTGGTCAAGTTAAACCGAAACCGCATTAGCATGATTCCACCTAAGATTTTCAAGCTTCCTCATCTCCAGTTCTTGTGAGTAACTAAGTACATGGATTTTAGGATGATAATAAATGGTTTTTGCTTCTCAGTTATTCTTGGAGCAATTCAGGAGATCAGTTTTCTGACTGTAAAATTTTTTGTTTAAGGGAACTTAAAAGAAACAGGATTAAAATTGTGGAAGGTCTTACATTCCAAGGGCTTGACTCCTTAAGATCCTTGAAAATGCAACGGAATGGAATTAGCAAACTTAAGGATGGAGCATTTTTTGGTTTGAACAACATGGAGGAACTGTAAGTACTGGGCATCAGAATAGGGGATTATTAGGACAGGAGTTTGTCGGGGACTTTGCAGTGCCAGATGGCTGGGATAGTGTACACAGACAAGTTTATAAATGCTTTTTTTAAGGGGAGGGTGGGTGGACATTGAACCCAGGGCCTCACACATGCTAATAAGTGCGAACTGTACCACTGAGCAATACTTCCATCTTTCTCACAAAGCTTTTAAGGTGTTTTTAGCTGATATTTTTTATCATCATTCTTAAAAACTTCTTATGTAAAAAATTTACATTTTTAATGCTTTGATTAATGAAAATTACCAGAATTTATCCAGAACAGGGGTGCTATACCACATGACATGTAGATTTTGTAGATCTGATATTTTAAATTCAGTCTCATTGGGGCTGGTAGAGTGGCTCAAGTGGCAGAATGCCTGCCTAGCAAGCATGAGGCCCTGAGTTCAAACCCCAGTACTGCCACAAAAAAAAAAAAGGATCAATAAATACAGTGTCATTAACCTCCAATACTGAATCTTAGTAAGATACGCATTTTCATTGAACAGAATTTGTTGGGTCTCTTTGGTTGAGCAAAGGTGTATGTTTGTCTGAGAAAGACTTAATGAAGACTTAAAACTACTTGCTATTAAAATGCCTTCTCAAATTCTGCAGAGAACTAGAACACAACAACCTTACAGGAGTGAACAAGGGGTGGCTGTATGGCTTGCGGATGTTACAACAACTGTATGTGAGCCAGAATGCTATTGAAAGAATCAGTCCTGATGCATGGGAGTTCTGCCAAAGACTATCTGAGCTGTAAGTGTTGGATAGCATTTCATTGGCAGCAGAGACTAGAGCAGCAGGTTGGGATAAGTCATTTTCATGTCTAGTAATGAGCTCTAACATCCCTCTTTGTTGGAAGCTCTAAACTTACATAAATATAGTTAAAAAATTAGAAGTTGGGACAAAATACAATGAATTCCTTACCTTCCATGTTTCCTGTTTTTAGTGATTTGTCCTATAACCAGCTGACCCGCCTTGATGAATCTGCCTTTGTGGGATTGAGTTTACTGGAGAGATTGAATTTAGGAGATAACAGAGTTACTCACATTGCTGATGGTGTATTTAGGTTTCTTTCTAATCTTCAGACATTGTAAGTATATCCTTTATTTGTGCATGTGTATGAATGTGGTGCTGGGGTTTTAATTTAGGGCCTTGCATTCGCTAGGCAAGTATTCTACCACTTGAACTACACCTTTAGGCTCCCCTCCCCCCCTTTAATGAAGTTAACAAATGAAAACAACTAATCATTCTGCAAATTTATGTATTCTAGTATTTTGTGGTTCTTCTGTCCTATGCCTCAGGGCAAGGCAATCTTATTTGCCTATAACCCCATAAATAAATCTTATACCTATCATAAACAATCCAACTTGTACTTTACTTCTGAGTTAATCATGTACATTATTAACTGCTTTTATTGTGTCAGTTGCTGTGGTGTAAAACACAGTTGCTAGCATTAAGAATGCAGTCATTTTCTTGTTCATCTAATTTTGATGATGCACTAGAACTTATTCAGAATGATGCAAGCTGAATAGTGGGATCAGCTCAGTTTACTGTTATAGTTTGCTTTATCACTTTGTTTATTTTTGACATTGCTGGGAGATATTGGGGATGGAAGCCATGCTAGGCAAGTGCTCTACCACTAAGCTACACTCCCACCTAAGTTTTAGGTTCTTAATGGCTCCTGAATAGGAAATGTGAACATCAAATTAAGAATTAATAACTGGTTTCAGAAGACTGATAGTCTCCCAACTTTGGCACCTAACCATGAATAAGAAAGAAACATGGTTTTGTAAAGGTACATACATATATACAAGTTTTTGGGGGTTTTTTTGGCACCACTTGGGTTGAACTTGGGCTTTTTTGCCTGTGTGCTCTACCACTTGAGCCACACTTCCAGCCCCACCCCTTTTAAATAGATTTGGCCTTGAAAAATTAAAAAGTGATTTCCTTGCCTGCTCCTCTTTCTATATTGTCAGAAGTGAAACTAGGTCAGTGCAAACTCAGAAACTTATATCTGATGCAAGTGTAGGCTTTTGAAAGTCAAGGGATAGCAAACAGGTTCTTTCAGTGTATCATTGATAATTACTTTTAGAATTAAAGTTTAGGAAAATAATAGAGGAAGTAAATGGTTGTCTAGTGCCACAGAGGTAGAGTTAAGATCAGATCTGAGAGAATGGGTTTTTTTTGTTTTTGTTGTTTTTGGTTGAATTCAGAGCCTGTGCTTCCTAGGCAGGTACTCTACCACTTGACCCATCCTCTTCCCCACTCCCCAGCCCTTGCTTTTGATTTTTTTGAATAGAGTATTGTATTTTTTGCCTAGGGTTGGTCTCAGACTGTGACCCTTATATCTGTGCCTCCTGAATAGCTGGAATTACAGGTATGCTACCTCACCTAGCTTATATATTGAGATGGGGTTCTTGCTAGATTTTTGCTGGAGCTGGCCTTGAACTGATATCCTCCCCATCTCCACCTCCCAAATAGCTGGGATTATAGCCATGTGCCACCATGTCTGGCCTCTGAAACTCTGGCTTTTTAGTCCAATTGTCTCTTTAAGAGTAGATTTTTTTTTTTTACTCAACTTGGTGAGTGATTTTATTTTTTTCCTTGTGGTACTGGGGTTTGAACTTAGGGCCTACATCTTGAGTCACTCCACCAGCCCCCTCTTTTTTGTGATTTTTTTTTTTTTTTTGAGTTAGGGTATCAAACTATTTGCCTGGACTGGCTTTGAACTGTGATCCTCCCAATCGCTCTGCCTCCTGAGCAGCTAAAGATTACAGGCATGAGCCACTAGTACCCAGCTGGGTGAATGATTCCTTTCTTTGTTTTTTGTTTTTGTTTTCTGAAACAGGGTCTTGTTTTGTAGACCAGACTGGCCTTGAAGTCTTGATCCTCCTGCTTTCATCTCTTCAGTGTCAGTGTTACGGTTATGTAATTCCCGGCTTGGTGAATGATTTTTATTAATTTTCTGCTGTGGAGGAGGGGGAAAGTCCTGAGGAGTTGAGCCCTGGGGGCTTCAGTGTTTATTCTTTCTAAAACAAAATGCTTTGTTAGCTTTTCACTTCCAAGTAAAGAGGGACAAGCAAGAAGGAACTCCTGTTACTTAACACAACTTTACACGTCTTACAGATCAGAAAGCTTTGTGGTTTATTTTATCATGAGACAGTCTTACGAAACAAAAGTGATTAAGTATTTTTAAATTCTTTCATCAGCACATGCTGTGATACAATTGCACTTCCTCTGAAAATGGGATAGTGGATTTTAAAAGATCCATATTTTTCCTTTTAAAGAAAATACAGTGATCACTCTAACACATGGGAACATCATTCTTCCTTCCCAGGAGGTATTTTAATTGCTCTTGAGCTGAGAAGCTCTATATTGATATTACTCTTTGTCAGCTGTTTTAAGTTTAAGGGCCATGAGGGAGGCTTGGATCGCCCAGAAATCCATTAGTTTTAAATCAGATTTGCAAGCCATATCCCCTGTATCTAAAAGCCCTTCTTTTTACAGGACCCTGTCTTTAATTTTTGATATGCTAACACATTAGCTAGGAAGATTAATATGCTTAGCAAGTTGCTTAATTTGTTTATTAAGGCCACCTTATTCTGACAAAGATCAGTTCTTGTACATTTATCACTGATATTCCAGGTTGGGCTGGGTCCTGGTGGCTCACATCTATAACCCTTAGCTATTTGGGAGGCTGAGATCAGGAGGATTGAGGTTTGAGACCTGCCCAGGCAAATAGTTCATGAGATCCCCTCCCCAAAATAACTGGAGCAAAATGGGTTGAAGGTGTGGCTCAAGCGATAGAGCATCTGCTTTGCAAAATCCTGAGTTCAAACCCCAGTCCACCCAAAAAGAAAAGAAAAGAAAAAGAAAAAAAGCCAGACTGGGTCTTCATCATAAATAACTGTAAGGATCAAAATTAGCATGTGCACATTGACATTGCCTTGCCAAGATGCTCCCATGGTCGTAGTGACTAACATAACCTGTCTCTCTCTGACCTTTTTTTTTTTTTTAGAGATTTAAGAAACAATGAAATTTCATGGGCCATAGAAGATGCTAGCGAAGCCTTTGCTGGACTCACAAGTCTCACTAAGTTGTATGTATTTTATAGTATGTGTGTAAGTCTACAAAGAACCAGTTACAATTGTGATTGAATTGTGTTTATTTGATGTGGCCAGAAGTGCTGAGAAGGAAGGAGCTTTGTTTTTGTCAGGTAGCTAGTGAGGCACGTTTTATTGATAAAGAAGTTAAAGAATTTAACTTCACTTAAAGAGAAGTTAAACTAGAGTTTTCTTTTTACATAAAAGAAATACATTGAAACTCTAGTTGAACTAATAGTGTATTTAATTGTGTGAGATTTTTGTGGAGTCTGTCTAGCACAAGTGGAGAACATTCTCTCACACAGTATTTTAATTTCTCTGTGGTAAGAATTTTTCCAAAAGTTAACAGTTGTCTGAATTTCTTTGACCTGATTACCTGTTGTTAAGAAGAGAAAAATGGGGACTTTAACCCAGTTAACATAGGCAAACTTCCAGTTTCCTAATGGCCAGTGTGGTTGTTCAGAAGTAGTTCATTAAACTATTTTAATGTTTTTGGCAGCACTGGGGTTTGAACTCAGAAGTAGGTAGGCGCTCTACCACTTGAGCCAGCCCCCAGCTGAGCTCCAATGTCTTAATAGAAGCCTTCATGCTGCACTTTGCATTGACTAATAGATTCATAACTTTCTTAAAAATGCATGTTCTCATCAAACTCTATGCATGAAATGTGAGCAAATTATTATTATCAATTACACCTCAGGAAAGCTGTTAATACCCCAAAATGTACATTAAGCTTATTTTTGCCTTTTACAGATAAATGTTTAATTAATTGAATTTTATTTCAGAATCTTACAAGGAAACCAGATTAAGTCAATTACAAAGAAAGCATTCATTGGTCTTGAATCCCTTGAGTATCTGTAAGTATTTTGCATACATCTGCTTACCATTTAAATACTATATAAATAACCTTTACTGTGTAAAGCTTTACTATATAATCTTTGCTTTTAGCAGAGGTTTTCAATGAGCGTTTGAAGTGTTCATATGACTTAATTGTAGAAACCGGTGATTGGTAATGTTTCATTTCTCTTCATTTCAGAGATTTGAACAACAATGCTATAATGTCTATCCAAGAGAATGCTTTTTCTCAGACTCACTTGAAAGAACTGTAAGTAACTTAAGGTTTGTTTTTTTTTTAATTGTTTATGCTTGTGCTTAAAGTGTGACAATGGTGACTCAAATATTTCCAAAAGTGTGCAGTTCAGGAAGAAAAAAAAGAATGTGTTAATACTCAAGTTATTTTAGTAATGGGATGTAATTTTAAAATAACCTAATGTTGAAAGCCCAGGGTGTGTGGTACCAAGACCTTCTGTGATGCTTGTGCTGCCAGTGCTTGTAATTAGGAAACCTTAGCACTGACTCCCTGCAATTTTGTGTTTGTACTCTACTGTTCCTTTTTTTCCTCTCTGTTCCTTTTTGTATAAAAGATGTGTGTTCCCAATTCTTATTCTTAAACTTTGGGTGAATTAAAATTAAGTTATTAGTTAGATTTTGTTTTCTACTTTGTGAGTTGACTTAGGACTTTCTGTGTGATTATCAGACAAGATGTCTCTGTTCAAAATACTAAAATGTTCAAAAACTTTAAATAGTTGCAGTAGGAAGAAAATAGCATTTTATATCCCTTTTCACTTATGATTTTTAAAAATCGCTTTTATTGGTTTAGAGATTTCCCTGGGTGAAGGGAGTTAGCTGGGAGTTGGTATTGGCTTTAAAGTGTGGTGATTTGAATATTCTGCCAGGTATAGGAACCACTAGACTCAGAGTTTATTTTGCTTTGCAAGCTACTCAGAGTATGGTCTGTGCACTAGAACTGGTTCATGACAAAATAATGACAAAAATTCAGAGAAAGCTTTTAAAAACTTATAGAACAACTTGACAGTGATACATCTGTTGTAGTTTACAAAAGTATTGATCTGCAGTGGATTGGAAATTTAAAAACCGGTTCTTATTAGAGATGGCTTGAGATGCACTGGAAATGTGTGAGTTTTTAAGCTGCCTTGATTCATATCCCTGCTTCATTCCTTCATCTGTGACAGTGGGCAAATTGTTTAGCTTGACACTCAGTGTCTCATCTCAAAATGGGAATAGGACCTTCCATAGGGTTATGCAAAGATACAATGAGATAGTTCATTTACTAAAATATTTATTGTATAAGGTTTTGTTCTGGACGCTGAAAAAATAGTAAGCCTGGCAAAGTCTGTTCTCAAGCATGGTTCAATAAATTCTAGAAAGGAAGATAAAGAATAAAATGGTAGCTGTGTCTCATCACATAGTAGGTTTTCTGACGTCAGAGGTGTAGAGACTGCCAGGATTACTGTTTTAGATAAAGTAGTAAAGGGAGATTTCTGAAAAAACAGCATTTCAACAAGGACTTTAATGAAATGAAGTGACAAACTATGCAAATGTTAGGTAAAGAGCTTTCTAAGTTAGAAGAAGAAAGTGAAATGAGGTCAGAGAGTTAAGCAAAAACCTGATGTGTGGGGTAATAGGCCAAGAGAAATTGTTTTTTTGTTGTTTCTTCCTAAATGTGTTTGGAAACTTTAGCTGGAACCTGGCACACTGTAAAAATCAAATAGCTAATATTAACATCAAGATTTAAAGTGTTAAGTCATCATTAATTATTTTTTGCCAGATTAAAAAATATTGGGGTTTGGGGAGTCTCTTGTTATTTTTTGGTTATGTGTTCTAGGTTTAGTTAATTTGTAAGGACACGATTTACTGAAAATTGAAAATCAATTTTACTTTTTTTGCCAATGATAATCCTGAGGGCTAGCAAGAAAGTTTTAACTATTGTTAAGAGAACTCAGTTTAACAACAAATTAGATACTAAGTGAAAGCAAATATTGTAGTTTCAATCTCTAGAGGTCATTTGGGAATTGTGGCAAAAATTCTTTGCTTGAGCAAACTTCAGTCATGCTCCTGAACCTCCTGCACTTTTTTCAAATCCATTTTAGAAGAACCTTGCTAAACTGGTTTGGCAAGAACCCTCCCAAGGATATATCTGGTTATCCTCAGGTATCCTAAAGCTCTGATCAGGTTCCTCCTTCTGCACCATTCTCCAGGTGATGTCTGATCACCCTGCCCTGTTTTCTGCAAGAATCTGATAGGTTGATTTAGCCAGAATCCCCCTTACTTCTGATGTTACTTCTTAGTAATTTTCTATCAACTGACTCTTAATCTGTTCTGTATTTGGAGTTGAGCCCAATCTCTCTCTATTGTAAAATCCCATTAGAATGGTCCCTATACCTGTGGAGATGATCTTGAATAAAGTCTGCCTTACCGTGCTTTAACAAGTATCATTGAGTAGTTTTTTCTTTAACAGTTATGGTGCTGAGGCATGGATAGGATCAGATTCATCATTGGACCCCCAGACCTCTCACCCAGGACCCCCAAAAGTGTGCACCTTTGAAGCCTTTGTCTTCATTCCTGACTGATTGATCGGGGATCCAATGGTGAGTCAGACTGATGAACCACTGCTCTGGACAAATGTCCATTGAAGCTGGTAAGGAGAGATTTTTGATTCTTAAGATTCTGAGTATAGTTTCTGAAGGGGGGATAAAATGCCAGACTTCTTTTGAAAGGTACCTACTAGGCTGGGAGGTCTTCTTTCTGGCTTTCTTTCCTGATTGGGGATTATTCCCTGACTCCCTGGGCTGGAAATCCTTCCAGGTATTCTGTAAGGCCTCTTTGTTTTCTCTTTTGCATTCTGTCTCTCTCATAGGGACCTTTCTGTCACCTGATTCTCTCTGGAACCTCTGCTGATTATTTGCTCTGCCAACTCTGTCCATCAACTCTGTCTACCTCCTTCTCATTGGAACTTAATGGCCTCTTTGGGAAACTTCAGATCTCCCCAGACTGACTCCTCTAAGACTTCTCCCTTCCCATTGCTATTCCTCCTTCCCCTTCCTCTCAACCACCTTTAATCTTCTCCAGTTCCCTTGAGTCCTTTGATATATCCCACTGCATCCTTCTGTCCACCTCTGCCAGACCTTTTCCTTCCCACTGTAACCTCTTAGTCACTTGACCTGTAGGCTTCCATTCACCATTGTGGTAGTCAAGGTACTCATCTTACTGAGACTGAAAAGAAAAAAATGCTAAGTAGAAATAGACTATATGTCTCTGTCTGTCTCTCTCTCTTTCCCTCCCTGTCTCCCTTCCTCCCTCCCTCCCTCATTCCTTCTCTTTCTCTCTTCCTCCCTCACCCTCCATACATATTTATTTATTTTTTGTTGTTACACTGAGGGTTGAACTTGACATTGTACTTGTTAGGCAGGCATTCTCCTACTTGAGCCATGCCCCCAACCCTTTTTGCCTTGGTTAATTTTGAGATAGAGTCTCACTGTTTTTTTTATTTTGTTTTTGTGTTTTGGGCAGCACTGGGGTTTGAACTCAGGGATTCATGCTTGTCAGGCAGGTGGTCTACCACTTGAGTCATTCCACTGGCTCTTTTTTGCATTGGGTATTTTTGAGATAGGGTCTTGTGAACAATTTGCCCAGACTGACTTTGACTGCGATCCTCCTGATCTCTGCCTTCTGAATAGGATCACAGGTGAGAGCCACTGGTGCGCAGATGAAATAGGGTCTCACTTTACTCCCATGCTGGCCTGGACCGTGATCCTCCTATTTGTGCTTTTCACTATAGCTGGAATGACAGCCATGTGCCACCATACCCTGATATTGGTTGAGATGGGGTCTCAAATTTTTGCTCAGTCTCGCCTTGAATCATGATCCTTCCCAGTAACTAGGATTATAGGTTTGAACTGCTGTGGCCAGCTAGACTAAATATTTTATCTATGTAAGATGGGCTTTGGAGATAGCCATATAGCTCCTAGATGTCTCTTTAGCCTCCATTAGTTGTCTTCACAGATGTAGTAGTTCTCCTTTATCCACTAGGCATATGTTCCAATATCCCCAGTGTATGCCTGAAACTGTGTAGTACCAAACTCTATATATACTGTTTCTTTCCTATGTACCTTGCAGCATTGCCACATAACACCAGAGTTAATCTGACCTTCCATATTTTATGCCATAGTAACTCCTTTGCATCACTATTTTTTTTCTTTTTTGAGACAGGGTTTTAGTATATAGCCCCAGGATAGCCTTCAACTCTTTTGTTGTTGTTGTTTTGTTTTTTTGGTGGTACCGGGACTTGAACTCAGGGCCTTATACTTACTAGGCTTGCCAGGCAGGTACTCTACCACTTCAGCCGGTAGCCTTCAACTCTTGCCTCAGCCTTCTGAGTGTTTGGATTACAGATATGTGCCATTATGCCTGGCCTTATGAGATCTTTGATTACTTAAGGAAACTGACTCTTCTTGATATTAAAAAAATCTAAATTTTTTCACAACTGTGTAACCTTTTATATTTCCGTACCTTTTTTTTTTGTGGTACTGAGGCTTGAACTCAGGGCCTTTGTGCTTGCTAGGCAGGGGCTCTACTACCTCAGCCATGCCCCAGTCCTACCTTTAGAGTCTTTTATTTTTAGTTTAGTTAAATAGGTAAGTATTTTTTCTTAATTGTCTATGTTCCAACTTAGTCTAGTGTTCAGACCTTTTGATCTTACTGACAAATTCCACAAACCAAATTCTAAATAAAGCTGATTTATTAACCTCAAGTTAACTTTGAGATTACCCAGCTGACTCATGGAAAGAAATTTGTTTTCTTTCACAGTGTTGGGGCTCAAACCAGGGCCTTACACATTCTAGGCGGATGCTCTAACAGTTAGCTACATCCTTAGTCCTTGGGTTTTTGAGACAGGGTCTTGCTATATTGCCCTGGCTGGCCTTGAACTTAAGGACTGAAGCAGTCTTCCTGCCTCAACCTTCTGAGTAGCTGGGACTACAAGCACATTCCACAGCACCTGGTTCTTCCTGGAAAATCTTGTAAGAATTTGTCTCTTACCTTATAAAAAGAGAGATATTAAACTAATTAGGTTCATTTGGTATGTTATGTGGGAAATGTCAGTTAAATAAGTGATGCCAATATGTTGGTGAGACAGTAACTTCTTCAACAAATGTTGAAACTAGATCCCTGTCTTTCACTCTGTACTAATATCAATTCAAAGTGGATCAAAAATCCTAAGACCAGAAACTTTGAAATTACTGCAGG